TATGAAAAAACAGAGATCCGCATGAGAAAGCTCTGCACCCCTAATAGCACTAGGCTTAATTTGTAAACTGAAATCCACCTTTTTGTGTGTATTTTAAAGGAATAATTTGGCCCAAAAATACCAAATCAACATGATGTTCTTCTTACAAACGCATTTAAAGCAGCCAACACACCTCTGTCGTCCACGTTTTGCTTCTTTAGCTCAGAATTGGAGCTGCTAGCTAATGGTGCTAGTAAACACTGGAAGTAAATGGTCAACAAAACCATTTCCACAATACATGGGAAAAAAATCTCTATATATTTGCTTCAAATTATGTCGATAAGCTACATAAACATTTAGAAAAAAGGAATTTGGTGAAATGGCACAGAACTACATTATTATCTGAATAACGTCCTGCTTTCCAGTAATACTGCACCTTCGAACTCTGGGAGGCTGGAGCGCAGTATGTTGTAAATGTCACTACACAGGTACGCAATGTCACCACATTAACACTTAAGGCTTGCTTACTGCCCGAGAGTTAGCAGCTGCGTACTGAATAATAATAAGCCTATAAAAATGAGGTGTTGCGTTCCATTTTACAGAGACAGAACAAAGAAATCTGCAAACCATCATAAGATCTGAGGCTGCATTACAGAAACTTTATCAGTGTGAAATCTTATCTGCTCAGTCAGCATGACAACTTCAGTTAGGACTGGATTTAGGACAGAGGCTATTACAGAACAACAGTTCTTAAGTTCATAATCTTAACCATGAACTACAGGTATGAAAACAGTATGACAGAAACATCCTAACTAACAAACACAGAACTGTCTTAACTTGTTAAATTTATCTACGCTGAGTGTGTTTACATGCACGCAATAATCCGATCATAATCGGATTTCTGCAGTTACCCGATTATTCAAATGGTCATGTAAACACCATACTCCGATCTAGAAATCTGATAAAGAAATCTGATAAAGAGGCTGGATTTTAGCTCTGTAATCAGATTTCTCAGTGCATGTAAACTCTTACTCTGATTTCTTTCAGATTTCTCAGTCTGCGCATGTGCGAAACAGACGGCAGCACCGGAAATAAGCAGCAGCGTTGCTGCGAGACAAAAAAAACACTTTTGGAGCGACGGTGAAACCAGACATGAAATTAAGTATTTGAATATTCTTGATCTTCTAGACGATGTATGTTCATATCTTCAGGTAAAGCGGCGCAACGTTTAAAAAAAAAAGCTGCGGCATGAAGTTTTACATTACGTTTACGTCACGTCTTCTTCTGTGAGTTTACTGGCTGGTTCTAAAAGCAGAAATCCGATTATTGTCTGACTCGTAGACCCAGAGTTTCCCCATTATCTGATTACTCAAGTGCATGTAAACACATTGATCGGATTACTGACAAAATCTGATTTTCTGTTATCGGATTATAAAGCGCATGTAAACACACTTGTTGAAAACAGGGCTTTTGACTTGTGAGTTTTTCTTTCTAATAGTGTTTTAAAAACATATGGTCGATTGCTAGGTAACAAACATGATAGTTGATTCTTGACTTTGATTGAGTGGGTTAAGATTTCCTAATCTGAGATAAGATGCTGTAAGATAAAATTCCTAAATTAAGATCAGATTTACTTCTGTAATACAAATTTGCAGTTACTGTGCAAAATCTCTGTGTATGTGGTGGTCATTTTTCACTGGCCATTACACTGAAGGTCTCCAGGGTTATTCTACAATCTACAGCTATGCCAAGTTCGTGTTTATAGATGACACCTCAAAGAAGTGAATCCAAGTGAAGCGCTGTTTACTTTTTCCCCATCTTCATTTTACTCACTTACTGTAGCTCGGAGGACGAGGGTGAAGTTGGCTTCCTATTTGACAGCTCCTTATTCGCGTTTTTCGTTCCACCTCAAATTGTGCGCCAATTACATTCTGAGGCGCCACAAGGTACCTGCTGCTCCACTGAAGATGAAGTGGAAAATTCAAATAAGAAGCTAACTTCAGCTACATGCTAAAAGGTGGTCCAGGGAGTCAATGGTGGGTCAACCATCCAATTGATGCAATTCATCATGAGTATATTCAGGTTCAGATTCATATACAGTTGAGGCTTATTTTTGGAAAAAAATTCATCCTCAAATTCATAATTTGACTTCCAGTGTTTGTTAGCACCTTTCAACTAATTTCTCCAGTTCTAAATAAAAAAAAGAAAATTTTTGACACTAAATAGGTCTTGGTTGATTCCCTGCATTTTGTGTAAGTAAAAAATGAATGTGATTTTTGCTGAACTGTTCCTTTAAAGCTCAAAGGTCCAAACTAACCAGCTCCAGAGATAACTGACAGCAGCCCTACACTATACTTGCATCATCTCACGCTTCTTGGTCACACATTTCCAGCATCACGTCAAACTAAACCGTGTGAAAGTTCTTTTAAAAATGAACCGTATCACTGACTGGCCAACACTAGTTTCAGATATCCATTAGTACTTGTGGCCTACGTAGAGAAAATATATATATATATTTTTTTTAAATTACATAAAAATCTACAAAACTGGTCTTCTGAAGTAAATTTTGGCAACATTCATGTAATTATTGAGATTAACATTCTACCTTGATTGCTTTACTTGGTCACTGTCTACTTGTATCTGGAAAAATAAAAACCCTTAAAGTGCAATTTAACAACTGGCCAGCCAGTTAAAACATGTGTGTCAAAACACGTTTTAAAATACATTTTATTCCTCATGGGTCAGCATGAATTTGTTTCATGCTACCCAAGACTGATAATTTCCCAATCATTTGTTTACAACACTAAACGCATAAACGTGCACTTAATAATCAGATCACTCTCAGATTTCTGCAGTTATCTGATTATCCAAGTGGTCATGTAAACAGCACACTCTGATTTCTTAGATCAGATTAAGGCCTAGAAATCTGATTAAGAAATCTGATAAAGAGGGCTGGACTTTAGCTCAGTAATCAGGTTGCAACAAAACACCTTTAAAGCAGCACTGACACCAACAACATGCTTGGAGAAACTAAGAATCTTAACGTTGTTCATCTTCTGCTAAAGTGACTCAATGTTTCAAAAACAAGCTGCAGCATGATGTTTGAGTTTTACGTTACGTTTACGTCATGTTTTATTCTGTGAGTTTATTGGCTGGATGTAAAGCATCCAGGAAATCTGATTACTGCCTGACTCACGTATTGTTTTTGTGTATCTTCTCAAGAACGTCCTTTGAGGGACATTGGGGGGTGTGTGTATTTGGCCTAAAAGGTAATTTTAAAAAGACAAACGGCCTCGAAGCAGATGGTCTATGTAACCTAATAAAAGCTGAGATATACATCACAGTGCATCCACGGCAACCATCACTTTATGCTGTTCTTCAGACGTCCATAAACACATCTTCAGTACAAACGAAAAGTATTTCCAGCTTTAGAAAAAAGAATTATCATTAATCTTCCTCTCCCACCACATTCCACTGGCACACACACCCACACACACCCACACACCCACACACCCACACACACACACACACACACACACAGCAAGAGCACATTCACTCCTCTCACTCTTGCATAAAGTTTATTACATGAGCCTACTTTCCTTTTCTAGATGAGGGTTGGAGTGTAAAACATTAAAAATAAAGTGTGAAGAGTGTTATAGAGTTATATATGAAAGTTTGGGCTCCCCTGGTCAAATTACACATTGTGTTGATTTTTTAAGTGAAAATAAGTGAACACATCCTCTGCAGAGAAAAGATTTCCATATATTTTGATGCACAATTACTGTTTATTTGCTGAATCGAGCGTAGTGGCAAAAAAAATGTTTAAAATGCAGCCAATACAAAAGTTATAGCACATTTTATAGTTAATGTTTTTCTAATATGTTAACCTCAGCAAATAAATAGTAACTGTGCACTATGATTTGCAGATAAATACCATATTTAAGTTTATTCCCTGCAGAAGATGTGTTAACTTATTATCACTAAGATAATCAACAAAACATGCAATTTGACCAGGTGGTTAATATTTCTGCATACAACTGTATTAAACATCCAGAAAGTTTTGAATTAAAAAAAAACAAGATAGAAATACAATAAAACATGGCTTAAAATCTGAAAACTGTCTAGCTAGTGTCCTACATTCTTAGCAAAAAGGCGTTCTATATAGTACCAAAAAAGGGTTCTTTGGCTTGTGACAAAAGTGAAACCCTTTTTGGTGCTGCATAGAACCCTTTTCAAAAAGGTTCAATATAGAACCAGCACAGGCTCCATCAACCTAAAGAATCCTTTTACTGTGCAAAGAACACTTAAATCATGCAAAGGGTTCTCTGAGTGTTCATGGTTTCATAGAAACCCTTTTTTATTGACTAAAGAACCCTTGAAGAACCATCTTTTCTAAGAGTGTAATATTCTAATGAACACGTGACTGACATCCCTCAGTCCAACACTTCCAGCCTGCTGTATCACTGAAGCAGACGCACTTCTCAGCTGCATTCAAAGTCTTCTGCAAAACAGCCAAGAAGACCTAACGGTCGAGAAACAGTGCCTTCCTCGGCTGCATCTTTGGCTTTGAGACACGGCTTTAGTCAGCACTACATGCTCAATCCTAATTTATATTGACAATCTTATCTATGACAGCAGAATAATCCCTAGAAAGTTATTTTCTAGAAGTTATTTTCTCTTATCTTGATTTTTTTTGTGACATAGGATGTGGTTTACATAAAAAATTGATTACTGCCTTTGTCTCTTTGTGTGCGCACTTAAAAGAAAACTACTAAAATCTAAGAGCCCTGAGGTTTCATTATAGGTGGACCAATACCACAAAAGTGCTTTCCATGAAGAAAGCAGTTTTATTCTTATTGTGATAAATCACCGCATCTGGAACCACTTCCATAGCAAGCACATCTTTCTCTTTCACTGAAAGCTTATTGTTTTGGAAATCTTTAGGAGATCACAAGGCTGACAGTGACATTTCAGTCTGTGAGCCAGTAACACAAGTGGATGATTAATTGCTCTGAACTGACCTCATGTGGGCAGCTTTCACAGGGCTGGAAGTGGCACAGGCCCCTTGAAAGCTGCTCCGGTCCAGATTTACAGCAGTCCTCCACGCCTTCGTCTATGAACAAGTTCACCGAGTCCATGGGGAAGGCACAGAGTGCTGAGTCGTGCTCTGGAACCCCTGAGTCGTCCGTGACGGCGAAAACGCCGTACAGGATGTCGTCCTCTTCTTCGGCGCCCAGCTCATCAGCCAACTCTCGGCCAGCTTTGCCGAAATGTGCTGCCTGCACCACATTGTAGACGATATCTTTGAAGGCCTCGTTGGCGTTTCTCCTCCGCCTTCGTTTGGGCTCAAAGCGGCACTCCAACACAACTTCCCTGTACCTTAGAGTGGAGGTGGATGATATGTTACCACTACTGTTGTATCATGGCTATCGTCAGTATATCATGAGTATCGTCACAGAGAGTCTGTAAACAGTATACCATGTATAGTTACTTCATAAGCTGCACAGTAACAAACAGCTGACTGGAATTCAGTCCATTATGCCATTATTTTATTAATGTATTCATCTAACTGTAACGTTCAATCAAAAAATATGATTGTACTTATTCTATTGGCAAATTGTTACAAACCTAAGCTAAGTATTGCAGTATCATGATACCACATTTCTGCCATATTGCCCACCCTTACCTCCTGGTCTCCCACTCGTGTCGAGGTAGGCGGCCCAATCTCGTTTGGTACGGCGAAGAATCCTGGTCAGCTTTCTCCCTCTGGACGGACAGGAAGTAGACAAAGTCTGCCGTGGAGAAGCTGTAGACATATTCGATGCTGTATGCCCGCCGAAGCTTCGGCAGCACGGTCAGGCCTTGGAAATCTGGATGGAAACCGTCTTCCGTGGCCAAAGGTCGGCGAACCGACACAGACTTGCGGCCGTAGCGCTGCGTGACGCTGTCGTTGACGGTGGCGGCCACGTAGAAGTACACCGTCTGGCCCTCTTCCACCATGCTGACCTGAGTGCCCAAAGGGCTTGCAATGCAGTCTGGACAGAAGGCAGGAGAATTGAATTCCTTCCGGAAAAGACACTTAGAGGGTCCGGGTGGTTGACCATTCTCATTGAGCTGGTGGAAGTAACATACTCCATACTGAGAGCTTCCACAGGAATAAAGGTACATGAGGTATGTATCCAAAAGCAAGACTTCGTTATCCGTATCCTCTGGAAGTGGATCTTTCTCAATGTCACAGAGATCGCACAACTTGCACTTGGGACTGCCCACGGGTCCCGTGCACAGCTCCCACGCTTTACCCAGAGTGCTGTTCACTGCCTCAATGATATTCTGAGACGCCAAATAGATCTCGTGGTACACAGGGTTGATTGCGATGTTCTGGATAGGGTTCCTAGTCTGGAAGAAGGGCATGGGGTAAGAGATGGAGAAGTTGACAGCAACAAGGGTGGTGGAAGGACAAGTGTCCGAAGTGACCATTACCATTGCCTGAACCCAGACACATGTTACCAAAGGAGTGGTCCAGTGGACCATGTCGAACCTTGAACCTGGAAACACCAGATGTCTTATGGTTACCTCCAGCCCAAGCCTTTTACTTGAGACATCCTGGGTTCTGGCATGGAATCTCTGAAAAAAAAAAAAGACTGGTAAGAGAAATCAAAACTTAACCCACAGTTTCAGCATAAATACCAAGCTCAAGCTTGTAACAATAAAGCCACTACGAATATATTGGCAAATTAAACTATCTCTAGAAATAAAGGTTTCTAAAAGCGTTCTTTGAAGGATGGCAAAGAAGAATTACTTCTGGTTCCCTAAAGAAACTTTCTTTCAGGAACCATTTTCTTAAATGATACAAAAGTGTGAAAAAACTTAAAATTTGCTTAAAAAACCTCCACAAAACTTAAAGGTTTCACGCCAAGTAAAAGTTTTTCCTAGACTCTTATGTTCAAGCCAACATATGTTCAAGCCACTCATATGTCCTTGCCCTTTAAGAGGCAAAACACATGGGTGACTCATAAGAAATGCATTACTGAGATCTTTATTTACATTTTGACCAGTCAAGATAGCCTGATGTGATCCAGCCTTTTCTGGCAGAATAGAAGCATAAAAAAACAAGTGTTTCAGTCTAAATGAGTAAGATGGGACTGTTGCCATACCTCGAGACAAAAATGGAAGTCTGTTTTGACTCACTGTAAACAACAAAGGGGAGAAGATTGCCTTCATAAATAACTTTATCGGGAAGTTAAAAAACCCACAACCTGGCCAGTGAGTAGACGTTACAAGCTATGTGTTTCTTCTCAAGTAGGTGGTGAGCGAATACACAGATGCTCTAATAACAACAGCTTTAATAAGTGCAACATCACCAGTTCATTGTGCTTTCAGGCCAGCAAAACTATTTCCTTCTACCAGTTCTAGAGCTCTAAAGCCTGTAGGATAATGTCTACAAACATATAGTTTAGTTGCAAGAACCAATAGCCAGTAACCTGAAATGTTATGATTCAGCCTAATCAGTCCAAATATATCCCCATCCAAATAAATCAATCATGCCCCATGTTGGACGAAGGGCTTAAGATATTTTTAAAGAGGACAGACCCCGTATACCATGCGTGTCGCTCATTAACCCGTGCAGCCGGAGGGCCTCTCTGCTTTGCATTCTCCTCACAAACACTACGTGACTAACAAGTGAACTTGATGCCGGTTGAAGAATGACCTGGGGGGCTGAGTGGTCACCTAAATTAACTGCATTTGGACACACAGAACTGGTCATTTTCAGTCACTTAAACAAACCAACCTGCACTTTATCCATCAGTACTTTATTATGAGGGCAGAGGTGCTGTCTCAATTTCAGGTTTATAAGTAGACAAAAGCAATGTTTTCTTCTTTCATTATATTTTATGTGTGTGTCTGATACACCAGCCTACATGAGCGTTAATGGCCGGTGAAAGATGAGCTTACATACTAATGGTGCTTCTCGACCAGCTTTATGCTCTGGCTTAATCGATCCAAGCATTTAAATCGAGTTTCCATTGATTCATTAAGAAAAACAATGTCAGAAGTGTTGCTTTTGTTTGCTTTTCCAGTGTTGCAAGGTTACAGCCTGTAAAGATTGTGCTGTACTGGTACCTTCTCGTGTTAACTGTAGTGTAGTAGTCATAATGTGGAGTATATGGGTGTTAAACATTATAGATTGACTCTTTATTTGTGTGGATCTAGCGTTTACTTGAGTAAGCCTAACATCAGCATTGGCTGATTTCATATAACATCCAAAATGATCAAGCCTACATTTTATCATACAAGAAAGGACAGATAATCAAACTACAATCAAATATGTTCTTTAAATGTAGCAGTTGGCTGAAGATTATTGTAAGCAGATCAGAGACTCAGATGTAAAGGCAAATCAGGTTCGCAAGTGGATAACATTGTTATTTTTCCTACCACATGTTTAATTAAAAGAACGCTAAAATTACACTAAATCACTTTCAGTAAAGAGAGAGACATTCTTCAAATCAACAACCAATTCAGTTTCCTCCAAAAGCTCCTTCTGTTGAATTTTAAGGATTTTGTTCACTATTGTGCCACCTGTATTAGCTACACACATACAAATTCACTTGCAATAAAGAGCAACGCTACAATGGCTGTTTCACCTCCCCCAAAATGGTAACTCGTTAAATTATAATGAACACCTTTTGTTGCCGCTATTAAGAATAACAGCAAAACATCTTTTGTAGTAGTAAAGAAAGTCATACACATACATTTACCACCACTTTTCAGTTTCTGGGTTAATTTTAACCAAAATATTTTATAGCTGAAGTACTGTTGTATTTTGTGCAACTCACAGAGCACCCTGAATAGTACAGATTTAAGCTGTGTTGGTAGTAAAGTCCTGCAAGCCTACCAGAAGTTCAAGTTGCAAATTTTAATGAATATTTATTTGTTGCTTAAACGATGCAATTTTAAAGTGGCATTCTGAAACTTTCAGTCCAAAATATGCTGTAATTCAAATTAAATTAACGTTTAAATTCATTATCTAATTTCTACTGCTTACTCAAACATCTTTAAAAATGTTCCTTTTTTTAAACAGCCTTTGTTTGTGCACCATGTCTGGTTAATAAATATTAATCTGGAGATCTCAGATCAAGGATTTTCCTTGTGTAGTGTGGCCAGCCTTGCCCCGTTCGTTCTGTTGCATACATTCATCTCTAGTTAAATCTCTGGTTAAATTTCAATGAAGATGTACTCATTACATCCTTGCTATTGTGCAATGTGGAAACAGTACAACAATGAAGGGAGCACACAGGTATAAATCCTCTTGTAGTAAAAAGAGTGATATCCTCCAAGTCTACAACAACTTTAAGTTGACACTCTTTTTACTACAAACGAGTTTATGTGCTCTTAGCCTTATTTTTAATTAACTTCATGGAAAATAAAACTAACAGCATCGAAACTTCATATTTAAACCATCATCTTAAAGAAGAATTCCCCCAATTTTCTGCCTAATTACACAGTTAATATGACACATAAAGTCTTTCAGAGTGGTTTGGTGTTAAATGCTCCGTTCTTGCGGAGTCAGAATTGTTCACAGTGGTGGTGATAGGAACCAGACGACCACCTCTAAAAGCTCCCTCGCAGAAAGTTATGAGGCAAAATAGTCCACAGAGAAAACTTATTTTTTCAGATGTATCACAATTTTACCTTCATCAACATTCCACATAAACTCAGAGAACATGTGTAGGTTCTCTGGGGGTTTTGGATGGTAAATAAAATGTCTATATTTGTGTTGTAGTCATGGTGACCCCTGGTTCCTATCATCACCACTGTAAAGAAATCTGAGTCCCTACAATCAACCATTCCATATCAAACCACTCTGAATGTCTCTGTTTACAACCAGTGAATTAAACAGAATTTTTGACAAATTATAAAATATATATACAACCACATACAACACATTCTCCGTCAGTCTGAAGAACACTTTCATGATGAAAAAGAACCCTTTAATCATGCAAAAGGTTCTTTGAGAGTTCATGATTCTATATAGAAACATTTTCTGTACTAACCCTTGAAGAACCATTATGGTTCTATATAGAAACATTTTCTTTGCTAACCCTTGAAGAACCATCACTTTTAAGTGTCTAGTGCTAATTTGAATATAGCTTTGACTTTTAGGTCTATAGGCCAGTTTCACCATCTAAAATCTAAAAAAACAAAAAAAAGACTACATTTTCATTTGGTCTTGTTCTTGTGTCACATATTGTAAACAATAAAGCACTTTCACTCTGAATACAAGCCTGAATATACTGGATTAGCCTCTTAGACTGTTAGCAATTTGATAAGGTGTTTGTTAAACAGACACATTCCTGCTTACAGTCACTATTTTCCATAGTTTGGAGCCTTTTATATGTATATATATATATATATATATATATATATATATATATATATATATATATATATATACATATATATATATATATATATGGATAAAATGTGAGTTGTGACTGTGAAAATGCAAGTATTAGTGAGATCCTGCATTTTCTTTGCTCCTCTAAGCCGCCCTGTGCCAAAGTATTCTATTTTATGAAGTCTCTGGGGGGGCGTGGGTTTATTTTACAGCACAGGAATCACAAAGAATCTATTACTTTTCACACAACTATTTTCTTCTTTAAAAAGAAGATTCTTCAAGGGTTGGAATGGTTCTATTTAGAACCAAATTATGCTTAAACGGTTCTTTGCCTGGTGAAATGGCTCTTTAGATTAATGGAGAATGTGTTGTATACGGTTCTTTATAGAACCTTTCTTAAAACACTTCTATTTACACACTTTAGAAACACTGTTCTTCTTTAGTAAAGAAAATGGTTCTATATAGAACCGTGAGCACTCAATGAACCCTTTGCATGATTGAAGGGTTCTCTGCATCGTGAAAGGGTGATTCAGATTGGTTCTTCTACTGCTACAGGCTTGATATCATAACAATAGCAGAACCCTTTTTGGTACTATATAGAAACCTTTTCAAAAAGGTTCTGCAGTCTGAAGAACGCTTTCATGATGCAAAGAACCCTTTAAGGGTTCTTTGATTGTTCATGGATTAATGTGGAACCCTCAAAGAACCATTTTTTTAAGAGTGTAACACCACAAAGGGTTCTACTATTGTTATGATGTCAAGCTTATAGAACCCATATAGAATAACCTTACAGAAGAACGCTTTTTGGTGCTAGCTATGTCGAACCATTTTCAAAAAGGTCTATATATGACCATGTACAACTCATTCTCCATCAATCTAAAGAACGTTTTCACCAGGCAAAGAACCATTTAAGCATGAAAGGGTTCTATACAGAACCCATGAGTGTAGAACTTTATGAATGGATGTCTTGTGTGAGAAAATGTACCTTTTGGTTGTTCATTTATGAGAAAAATAATGAAACATAGAGTGAACACTATATAAAAGCAACTAAAACTGAACTGCTTTTTTATTTTACTGATAAAGAGTCTGCAAACACCCTCCCTGATAGAGCAGAAGGAAAGGGCACTGTGCACTTGGTCACACACTGCATTGTTATAACACAAATATGTACATAACAGCACAAGTAACTTTGCTGCCCAGTAGGTTTACACCTTCAGTCTGATAGGTTCCCTTCAAAAATAAGCTCAACATAAACTAATGATGATTATTATGAGGCTTTACAAGCCGGTTGTTCGTCATGCATCTGATTTCAGGACAACTACAGAATATGCAGGATTACAAAGGCGAAAACAAACTGTTTATGTCATTAAATCAACTGGATTTATCATTACAGACAAATAAATCAACTAGCTGTGTTAACATATTTTAGCTGCAAAATCTATGGCCTTTTAAGAAAAGGTTCTATATAGCACCAAAAACGGTTCTTCTATTGTAACAAGCTTGACATCATAACAATAGAAAGACCCTTTTTGGTGCTATGCACAAGCCTTTTCAACAAGGTTGTATATAGAACCATATACAGCATGTTCTCCATCAATCTGAGGAACCCCTTTAATCATGCAAAGGGTTCTTTGAGTGTTCATGGTTCTATACAGAAACATTTTCTTTACTAAAGAAGAAAACCATAACTTTTAAGTGTGTAGTGTTACTTTAGCTGATTGTCAATATAGCCTAATCATTGCATATGGTAAGTCTATAGGCCTGTTTCACCATTTAAATCTAAAAAAGAGAAAAAAAGACAATTTTTATTTGGTCTTTTTATTCATCATGTCACATATTTACTATGGTTTGCGGCTTTTTATTTCATGTACACAATTTGTACTCAAATTCACATACACACATTCTCTGTGTCATTAAATCAACTGGATTTATCATTAGAAACAAACAAATAAACTAACAATGTAAACATATTTTAGCAGCAAAACCTATGGCCTTATATTTTCTAAGAAAAAGCATTGCCACCGTGCAGATACTGGAAAGCTTTTCAAATTGTCAGCTCCATAAACTTGCCTTAAGTGCTATTTTCTTAACCTCAACAACACAAAAGAGTGAAAAGGAGGAGGGAAAAGTGCTGCTGTGATGGAGACAGCTGAGTCTCTTACCTGGCTGGGATAAGCAAGGTGTGAATCGTCTCTTCTCCTTTTTTCTTTTTCATATGTCAGCAATCTCTGAACTCTCCTCTACCATGTGGATGTCCATGCGGTCAGTCCACTCACTCAAATCTCCTGGTTTCTTTTTACCAGGACCTGCATTTACAAAGGAATGTCACCCCTGATTACACTAAGCAGAATGTTAGAGTCATTACTCAAAGCACAGAGAGCAGTAGAGCCCACTCAACGCTCCGCCTTCAGGGAGTGATTCAAACTTACACTGAACCAACAGTGAGGGCTCCACCTGTCTGTGCGCTCACAGCGCCCCCTGCTGGCTCACATGTACACACACTGACCGGCCACCTTATTAACTATACTTCCTTGTATCTACTCTCAGTGTCTATTTTATCAGCTCCACTTATCATATAGTTTCACTTTGTAGTTCTACAGTTACAGACTGTAGACCATCTGTTTCTCTGAATACTTTGTTACCCTGTTCTTCAGTGGTCAGGACCACCACAGAGCAGGTATCATTTCGATGATGGGTCACTCTCGAAACTGCAGTGAAACTGATGTGGTGGTGGTGTGTTAGTGTGTGTTGTGCTCGTACGAGTGGATCAGACACAGCAGTGCTGCTGGGGTTTTTAAACACTGTGTCCACTCACTGTCCACTTTGTTAGACACTCCTACCTTGTCAGTCCACCTTGTAGATGTAAAGTCAGAGACGATAGCTCATCTGTTTCTGCTGTTTGTGTTGGTCATCCTCTAGTCCTTCATCAGTGGTCACAGGATGCCGCTGGCTGGATATTTTTGGTTCTCAGTCCAGCAGCGACACTGAGGTGTTTAAAATCTCCAGCAGCACTGCTGTGTCTGATCCACCACGACCTCAGTGTCACTGTAGTACTGAGAATGACCCACCACCAAAATAACACCTGCACTGCGGTGGTCCTGACCACTGAAGAACAGGCTGAAAGGGGGCTAACTAACAAAGTATAGAGAGAAACAGATGGACTACAGTCTGTAATTGTAGAACTACAAAGTGCACCCATATGGTAAGTTAAGTGGAGCTGACGGTACAACTTACACAAGGAGGTGTCCTTAATAAAGTGGCCGGTCGGTGTATGCACAGCCTTGAAAATTCAGACTTCGAGTACCTAAAGAACCAAAATAAATAAATAAATAAATAAATACTAACGTTACATACATTTAAAGTGAAAACACAATACTAAGAGCACAGTATTCCGTACACTTGCAAATATTTCTGTGTAATAAAAACTACTTTCTTAACATTTGTCAAAGATCCATCTGAGACATTATCATATTTCTCTTTTTCCATCAAATCGGTTGGAAAGACCATCTAAGCTGGGTTTGGACATCAAATCTGTGCAAATAGTGACCGACCCCACTGACGCTTTTTTCCTATTTTTTAAAAGTATTGGCCCAAATGTGACCAATCAAAGTGCATATTGGTTGCTAGGCAGATTTTGCAGAGTCCAACCAATCATTAAATCGTGTATGACTTCGGGTATTTCCGCAGTAACTACTAAAACGCGAAAAATGCCGAAATACTGTGCGTATTTTATTCTTAACGTTACCTCCTCTTGTTGACGAGCTGCGCTGACCACACACTGAGGAGGCTGCGTGTCTAAACTGAGGTCAACTACTAGCACATGCGTATACGAGGATTAAGTTGGTTTCATATTCGCCAGCTTCTTATTCGAATTGTCTCGTTCCACCTTAAATGGCGCAGCAGTTCCAGTCAGGCGCCTGAGGCTGTACCATTTAAGGTGGAACGAGACAATTCGAACAAGAAGCTGACTTCAGCTTCGTCTAACGTGCAGTAACAGTTACAGGGCCATTCCATGTTTTATGCTCCAGCTATAATTAAAGGAAACGCAGGCCTGTTAGCTTCATTACTGGTTGTGCTTGTCTGATAAGAGTGTAATGATGGACTGAAAAGACATCAGTTGCTAGCTAAACCGCAAAGAAGCTAACGCTAACACGCTAAGTTAAATAACGGTTAGTTAAACTAAGTTAGCTAACCTAGCGTTAGTTAGCTAACCTGGCTAGCTGTTACGGAGTGAACACAACTCATTTACCCCTTGAATGTCAGATTTGCTTGCTATTAAGCTTCGCCACCTTTATTCGACGTTTAAACGAAAATAAAATATTACCATGTCCGACCTCAGCACCCTGCTAAGCTATGATAGCCGTGGCTAGCCTTGCTGTCTAAATTCACACGTTAATAGCTGACTTTAATCATATTAAGTCTCGATAAATTTGGGCTGAAGTTGATTATCAACTCATGTTAAATGATCGGACTCACAATGACTATTTTAAGTCGGTTAACGTGTCAGGACAGTAACTGCAAAGTTAAAGGATGGTTTTCTCGGTTATAGCGGTTCAGCTAGCCGTTAGCTCAGGCTCGCGCTGGTCCGTTAAGTCTTCGGTTAATTTTTAAATTTGAAATGAGTGATTGCGCGCGCGGGCTGCAGCAGAGAAGCGCTCCTTACTACAAAACCCCAGCAGCACTGCTGTGTCTGATCCACTCGCACCAGCACAACACACACTAACACACCACCACCATGTCAGTATCACTGCAGTGCTGAGAAAGATCCACCACCCAAACAATACCTGCTTTGTTCCTACTGGAAAAATCCTTAGAAACCATTGTTTCTATTGGTTCCTGGTGGTTTTGTAATGTGTTTTGTGTTTTTTAATGGGTTGATATCACAATGTGAAGGATCCATATGGTTTAACAAGTGATGAATGGCTGATTCCAAATGCATCTGATGGTAATGGGACCTGCAGGAAACTAGTGGTCTCTATGGGAAATTATTAAGTCAGTTCCCCTTAGAAAGCATAAGCATTAGGTGGTCCTTTTTTAGCAGGAGTGGTGGTCCTGCAGGGGTCTTGGCCACTGAAAAACGGTGAAATGGGGCTACAAAGTATGCAGAGAAACAGATGGACTACAAACTGTAACTGTAAAACCACGAAGTGCTCCTACACGGTCAGTGGAGCTGATAAAATGGACAATGAGTGTAGAAACAAGGAGGTGGTTTTAATGTTGCGGCTGATCGGTATATACAGCTATTACTACTGATGCTATTGCGCTGGGGGTCCATGACCACCAGACCTCCTAAAATCTTTATTAGGCCCCTCATATAGATACTGACACAGCTGTGCACCCATGACTCAGAAAGATCCAACATCTTAACAACATGTAGCTCAGTTAGCTCTACAGAGACAGCACTGATATCTGTTCTCCTTCTTATTCATTCAATGCACAACCTGACACATGGTATATTTATCACTAATTTGTTTAGACTGTGCCTTGAACATGGTGGTGGTAGTATGAGGTCAGACTGCTTGAGGGAGGGGGAGAACTCTGAGAACTTGGGCTGGAGATCTGGGCAGCGTCTGCCTGTAGCCAGAAGGCCGGGCCGCCCTCATAGCTGTGGTACACAAAAAAAAGATGATTCTTCATGAGTTCTTTAGTAAAGTAAATGGTTCTATATAGAGCCATGAACACTCAAAGAACCCTTTTGCATGATTAAACGGTTATTTGCATCATGACAGCATCCTTCGGATTGATGGAGTGTGTTTTATATGGTTCTATATAGAACTTTTTTTTCAAAAAAGGGTTCTATATAGCACCAAAAAGCGTTCTTCTGTTGTTAGAGGCTTGATATCATAAACGAAAAACTAAGGAAGAGATTGGTGAATGAGGCCCATAGTTCAATTCAAAATCTGGAAATTAAGAATGGATAACTTTCCAACTTGGGAACTGGGGTAGACAAATATTTTAGCTACTACATGGTTGCAGTGATGAAAGACACTAACTATAACAAAATCTTGAGTAAATTAGGTTTAACACCATTTGTATTAAGTCATTACATTCCACATACATACGTATTCATTACATCAACAACAAGAAACAGACTTCTCCAAAGTTTTACATTGATCTTTGAGATATAAAATTTCGAGAAAGTTGATGTGCACTGATGAACAGACAAAACCATATTTAAATAGATCTTTATTAAATATTTGTTAATTTACATAATTCAACATTACATGGTCTAATTTCTATGGGGGGGCATGTCAGTAACACATGAAGATGTGTGCCGACTCCTGTTGTCGCAAACTCTGATCCACACTGACCATCATAAGATACAAGAGTCACTGACTATGAGAAGAGATGAGGGGCACCAAGTAGTCTCCACAACCCTTCACTGCTTTGAATGTGTGAATTGACAAAGTGATAGTTTCATTAAAAATCAAATTTATGCAATAACAGCTCCCAACTCACCACACCCCCCACCCCCTAAATGTAGTTGATCAGACATGGTTTTAGAAACCACATAAATAATCTCAAATAGACTTGGTTAACAACTCAACACAGCGTCAAGCAAGTGTCTTATTTAGATACAGTGACCATCATGCTATCTGGTGGGCTATAAGCTTCTATTACTTACTTACTTACTTACCTACATTAGTCTCATAGCTTCAGTCTAAAACTAAAGAATCAAACTTCTCACACCTAACATGTCTTGGCTGTTCAACTACATTTGGGGCAAGAGGAGAAACAGTAAATTTGTTGTTTTTCTGCCAAACTATCACTTTAAAACGACATAATCCACAACATCCGTAGTCCATCATTCACCTAAAATTCACTTGGTCCAAGTCAAAATTCTGGATACATACAGTTAAAAGCAAGAGAAACAGGGTCATCAACATTGCAAAGGAAAAAGAGAGATATTTTAGCGTTATAATCAAATCTTCAGAGCAGTGGTTCTCAAACCCAATCCTGGAAAAAGCTGGACTGTACTACTAAACACAGTGTGTGTCAAAAAGTATCCAGGCAGCCCCTATAACGAGTGAACACAGCTACTGTCTCCATAAAAAAGCCTTGACCAATAGAATGGGATGCTTTGGATTAGCCGCACATGAGCCTAAGGTCACCATGCTCAATGCCAAGTGTCGGCTAGAGGGGTATAAAGCCACCCAGCACTGGGCTGTGGAGCAGTGGAACTGTGTTCTCCAGAGTGATGGAGCTCCAGTCTTTTAGATGAGCGTGTGTCTACAAACTTTTGGACACTTTCCTAGTTCTAACGCATTCAGTAAGCTTCTCGCAAGCTGAATCATGCACACTAGAGCATGGACATCACCAAACTGTGCAGTACTCGGCCCAATGAGATTGATTCTAAGAACCACTGCTCTATATTACATCTGCTTACAGCCAGATTTCAGTTAGATGAAGCTAAGAGATCATGAGAACTAGCCTCCTTCACTGGAAAATACAAGACATTACAATATATTTCTGTCTAAGATACAAACAATTAGTTTTTGACAGTATAGTTACAAATGGACATTAATGTCCCCCGAAAAAAAAGGACAAAAAACAAAAAACCAATAAAGTAGGAAATCTCAGTGATCTGGAGGTATGTGTAAATCTTCCCATTGTAACAAAAATCACCAGCTTTCTGAGGAACAACCCGAATAAAACAGAACACAAATTATTATAACAAAGCAATGGTTTGCCAAAAATTGCATTTACAATTTCACTATTCCCTCGAATGTAGTCGACTAGCCACGATAAGTTGGCATCCAAAATGCAGAACATGAGCTATGAAGATGCAGCTCACTAGAAATGGAAGTACTGTGCAACATTAGCCTCATATAGCAAAATCAAAACAGCAAACTTTGGAAAAACTTTTGTAAATTTAATTTCTGTCCCAACCATCAGTTTAGTCCAATGTTGAGTGAATCCTGGACGGTTTTAAACTGCAGAGTTTAGCATTTTTCCTGGTTCAGCTCTCCGTCATTGAGCTTACCTAAATCAGGCATGTTAGCTCAGGGGAAACACTGACGCATGCAGTACTAAGACCCAAAAAACTGTACTTTGATGAAATTTGAATCTCTGTCCCACCATTTAACAGCTAACTGGTCCAAGTAACCACGGTCTTCTGAAGAGACGGATTAAATGAATTGGGATTAGAACTAAAAAGAGAGCTGTTTTTAAGATACTCTCACTGGAATATCACCCAGATTGGTCCATAAGCTTTGCTCTGAAGGTGTACTACCGTGGCTCAGTTAACATAAGGGTTATTTTGATATGTTACATTAGGCTAAAACAGTGGTCGGTCTAAGACACTTAAGAAGAATGAAAAGGCAATGGCCAGTTATTGGGTTTAGCTATCAGTGCATGCACAAACTGTTTTGTTACGAATAACCATTAAAACTGTATATTATTTGGTCTATAACTTGCCATAAAGCAGATGTTCTGTTAGCAGACTGGCTAAATAGGTAGGATTTTCACATGAACTTAATTTTTCTTATAGGCACATTTCATTGGTGTGTCAAAACTAGACATGTTGATATCAACCACACTCCAAACAACACCCTCTGCAATCATCCTGACTGTATTTTCAGTTAACGTTATAGCCACTGTCCTATATTTGTCTGGCTTTAATGTAGGGGGCTCAGTACAGCGACAGACTTCCTTAATTTTACAATTCCTGGCATTTGACAATATAGTTTGAGTATCTTTTAAAAAAACAAGTACATCATCCTGTATCTGAGAGCCGTACAGCAGCCATCATACTTGTTACCAAACAGGTTACCAAATGTACGTCAGCACAGGTTGCAATAGAGGCCATGTATGAAGTTGGTCTTCAAGCAGCCAGGCATAAGCAAGCGACTGTAAATGTGTCTTAAAGGAGCTACATGGAAAGTTCTATCAAAAGAACTGGCATATGTATGGCATATGGCACACAAAAGCTAGGTACCAAAATCTGTTCTCTGGAGCAAAAGAAAAGTGACTTTTGGTTCCCTAAAGAACCATCTAACTGAGAGGTCCTTTAAGGAACCAAAAGTGGCTCTTCTACGGCACAACACCAAAGAACTCAAAGTTGTTCAGAGTGGTTTGATGTGAGATGCTCTGTTTGAGAGAAACTCACCGAGTCAGAACTATTGATGGTGGTGGTGATAGGAACCAGACGTCCACCTCTAAAAGCTCCCTCACAGAAAGCTATTACATGAAATGGTTATGAATATGCTGGCTGAGGTCTGACACATTGAGTGTGTTTACAAGCATTCAATAATCCAATCATAATAGGGTTTCTGCAGTTATCTGATTATTCATTATTATTATGGTCATGCAAGCAGCACATTCTGATTTCTTCGATCTGATTAAGGTCAAGAAATCAATCAAAGAATAAAGCTCAGTAATCAGATTTCTTAGTGCATGTAAACTCTTACTCTGATTTCTTTCGGATTTCTCAGTCTGTGTATGCGCAAAACAGACGGCGGTACTGGAAATAAGCAAGAAGCATCGCCGCGAGATGCAGCAAAACTCTTTTGGAGCGACGCTGAAACCAAATACATGCTTGACAAAATGAAGGATTTAAATATTCTTCATTTTCTAGAATATTTATGTTCATATTTTCAGGTACGATGTTTTAAAAAAAAAGCCACGGCATTAAGTTTGAGTTTTACATTGCGTTTACATCACGTCTTCTCCTGTGAGTTTATTGGCTGATTGCAAAGCAGAAATCTGATTACTGTCTGACTCATGTAGACCTGGAGTTTTCACATTATCTGATTACTCAAGTGCATGTGAACGCGTTAATCAGATTACTGACAAAATCTGACTTTCTGCAGTTATCGGATTATTAAGTGCAGGTAAACACATTGTTTTTCTATGCTTTGGAGACGATTATGGCCAGAAATGTGTTTTTAAGAGCCATTCATGGTGGAGAAGTGTTATAAGGCAAAATAGTTCCAAAAGAAAATGTATTGTTTACCACTATTCTACCATTATCATCATTACATATAAACTCAGAAGACAAGTGCAGGTTCACTGGTGGCTTTGGATAGTAATTAAAATGGCTATATTTGTGTTGTAGACAGAATGACCCCTGGTTCCTATCATCACCACTGTAAAGAAATCTGAGACAGCTTCATAGTTTCTCTATGATGAATAATTTCACATCAAACCACTCTGAATGACTTTGTTTACATCTCAACCAATGAAATATGCACAACTTTTAAAAAATCAGTGGAATTCAGTTTTTAAAAAAACAAAAGCCACTGTAGGAATGACTAGACACATTGGTCAACACTTACAAACAAGATATTAACCTCTTAAACTCTATAGGCTCATTCCACGAATTGGGATTTAGCCTAATTATGGACAATACTTCAGAAAATCTGCATTTCAAATGCTGTAGTCCATAACATGGGTGAAGTCAATCAAGTTCAGTGCTGATGAAGAATTACTGTTAGAAATTCTTTTTGGTCTAGGCTTACAAACTAGTCCTAAGGGTCTTTATATGGGACTACACTTCAGTGCATCACTCTGATACATTAGTTCCACAGTATTTAGTTCTTTCTGCTGGTCCAGTCATCCTGAAATGTTGTCACAATGTAAAGGCCTGGTTTTTTAAAATGGCATCAAAAATAAAAAGCAATCACAAGTTTTTTGATTTGACTCCTACATGTAGCTCCTTTAATGGCATTTGTTAGTGTTTTTCAGCCAATCCTGCAGCTTTGCTCTGGGAACTCTGGCCAGTCCAGTACAAACTGGGTAGGTTTGTAGGGGGTTCGGAAATAACCAGGTGATTTTGCTGCTGTTTGTGCTGGTCAGGATGGTCCACTCAGCAGGGTTCAGCACAGTTTCATTGGGTTAGGGCTTTGACCATGATCAGGAAATCTTCCTGCAATCTTCTCTCGTCCCCAAAAGGTTTGCCCACTGCCAGGTCAGTACGTTAGAGGGTTTAGAATGAACAGACGGTCCTCTTCTTTTCTGATCCACTTCAGCAGTTTGGTGACGGCGGACATGGCCAGTGCTTTCGTACCCAGAGGGCTGAAACAGAGGTAGAGCTCGAAGCCGCTGGTGGCCTGCAGGACAGAAGAACGGTCCAATTAGTTAGAGAACAATGATTTCCTTTAAGATGGGGTTATACTACTTGACGTTGACCCCGATTTTAGCCCAGATTCTCAGTCTGTCCGAGTCTGTGCTGGTCAGCTCTAGTCTGCAAATTTTTGGGTCAGTCGGAGTCGACAGTTTGTGTGAAAGGGGTGCAGACTCAGATTTTTGGCCTCCTGATTGCGTTTCAGACTGGTTGGAGTTTATCATACATACATCATCTAAACCGCTTATCCTTCTGGGTCACGGTGGGGTGCTGGAGCCTATCCCAGCTGTCATTGGGCGGAAGGCAGGATACACCCTGGACAGGTCGCCAGTCCATCGCAGGGCAGACAGACAGACATACACATTCACACACACACACACACACTCACACATACTCACACCTAGGGGCAATTTTAGCACGTCCAATCGGCCTGATTGCATGTCTTTGGACTGTGGGAGGAAACCGGAGTACCCGGAGGAAACCCACACAGACACGGGGAGAACAGGCAAACTCCACACAGAAATGACCCTGGTCTCCCGGCCGGGAATCGAACCCAGGCCATTCTTGCTGTGAGGCGACAGCGCTACCCACTGCGCCACCGTGCCGCCTTGGAGTTTATCAAACATGTTTAATTTTTTTCGACCCAACTCTGAGCGAAATCCAGTGTAAACTGGTCAACAACTCAATCTGAACAGATTCCCGCAAGAGCCAATGAAAACTGAGAGCGCGAAAGAAGAAAATAAAGCAAGTAAACAAAAAAGGCGAAAAGTCACTGTGGAGCAAACTTTTTAATGAGCTGAGTTTAAGGCAAGAGCACAATCGAGTTTATGTACTGCTGCTTCTTTACTGTGGCAGCGCAAACGGCAGAGAAAACAGCAGCAGCTGCGAGTCACTTCATGTTTGTTTATCTGCATCTCCTAGTAGCAGGAGAATGTGTGAGTTTGCGCAAGTTCGCATGAGTTCACGCGAGTTCAGTGAGTTGCGTTTGCTATAGCAACAGCTTAAAAGTCGAGTAGTGTGTGATCCTTAATCATTTAGTGTGTGATCCCCAATATTTTAGTCGTCCAAAAAATCTGCAAAAACCAGTCGGACAGTGTGAGACGCCCAGTCTTTAATAATCTGTTAAGACTTTAAAAGTCGTGTAGTGAACCCAAGGCTTTATACTGCTGGTCTAGAGGCATCACTCTAAAGCCTAGATCCTGAGCTTTGCTCTCACTGACTTCCTGTGGAGTTAATATGACATAATTAGTGTGGTTTACAGTTTTTACAAGGACCTGTTCACATTTGTACATACATGTACATACTGGTTTATTGATTCATGTGCATATGCTTAAATAAGACTATCAATATACAAACTAAGACTTTCTGTGGATGCATCTCCACATACTTCTCATCAAACCTCTTTAACATACCCTGGTTTAACCCTTTAAACTATATCTGTAGACACAACTACATTTCAATTCCTCACTCGTGACCACAAACCTTGCATGTTAGATGGTTACTGAATAATTAGGGGAATTCTGTCAATTTTTCAAAACTTCTGCATAATTCACTCATTGAGAGTTTGAATTTTGTGGTTTCACGTGAAATGAGTAAAGACTCTTGTTTCTTTGTAGTGGTAGTGATAGGAACCAGGGGTCACAACATCTACATCTTATTTACTATCCAAAACCACCAGAGAACCTACACGTGTCTTCTGAATTTTAATATATAAAGCTGATGATGGTACAATAGTGTTAAATCTGAACAAGTTTTCTTTGGGAACTACTTTGCCCAACAGCACCCTGCTTATACCACCATACTGTGAGGGAGCTTTAAGAGATGGACGTCTGGTTCCTATCATCACCACTGTGAAACCTTTCTGGTAAGTTTCTCTAGAAGAGAGCGTTTCACACCAAACCACTCTGAATGACTTTGACTCTGACTTTTTAAATCTTAACCAATTAAATATGCAGAAATGTAAAAAATCTGTGGAATTCCTATTTAATAGCAGTTCTGCAGTTTGAGGACTTTAACTCTGGTCTCTGAGGTCATCAAGCTCACCCAGGCGAACAGGTTCTCTGTGTCTCCGCAACGGTAGACTGAGCGGAGGGGGCGGGTTGGGTGGTGGAGGCAGCTGTGGAGGTAACGGTACAGTCCTATCAGCCTCTCATGCTCCTCCTCCCTTTGGTACGGCACAGGCAGCTCCGGGCTAATGAGTGGGGGGGAGAGAAAGAGAGAGAGAGAGAGAGAGAGAATAAATAAATAAATAAATAAATAAATAATCTGGACCTGAACAGGAGAGCCAATAGAACCGGACAACAGCACCACTGGCTCTAAGCCTTTTTCTTTATGGGAAAAATAAACGCTGTTCTCCGTCATGCCCGTTTCGAAAATGTTCCAAAGTTGATACGATTTACATCACTGGGTCTCACTGAATCCTCTGAATTATACAATATAATTACATAATAATTATATAATTATGAGGTCGTTAAGGAGTCAAAATATGAATATTGCATATGTGAGCTCTCACTGCTGAACACTAAAACTGGCAGCCCTACTAAAATTAACACGACTGGTCAAATATGGGCTCTTTAGTAAAGAAAATGGTTCTATACAGAACCATGAACCTAATAACCTTTGACATAACTAAAGGGTTCTTTGCATCATGAAAAGGTTCTTCAGACTGATGGAGAATGTGCTGTAGATGGTTCTATATAGAACCTTTTTTAAAAAAGGCGGTCCTATATAGCGCCAAAAAGGGTTCTTCTATTGTTTACGATGACACACTGTCAAAAAAGATGGTGCTTCAAGGATTCTTTAGTAAAGAAAATGGTTCTACATAGAACCATGAACGTATGAACGCTTTTGCATGATTAAAGGGTTCTTTGAATCATGAAAACGTTCTTCAGATTGATGGCGAATGTGCTATAGACATTTCTATATAGAAGCTTTTTGAAAATGGTTCTGTAGAGCACCCAAAAGGGTTCTTCTATTGTTAGGTTGTCAAGCTTGTAACAATAGAAGAACCCATTTGGGTGCTAAAGAGAACCCTTTTCCAAAAGGTTCTATATAGAACCATCTATAGCACCTTCATGCACATTTTCTATCAATTCGAAGAGCCCTGTTATGATGCAAAGAACCTTTTAATCATGCAAAGGGTTCTTTGAGTTTTCATAGTTCTATATAGAACCTTTTTGGAAATGGTTCTATATAGCACCAAAAAGGGTTCTTCTGTTATGACAAGCATGCACTCTTAAAAAGATCAAGAGTTCTCAAGTAGAGAAAATGGTTCTATATAGAACCATGAACCTAGGAACCTTTTGCACGATTAAAGGTTCTCTGAATCATGAAAATGTTCTTCAGATTGATAGCAAATATGCTATAGATGGTTCTATATATAACCTTTTTGAAAAACACTCTATAGCACCAATAGGGGTTCTTCTACTGTTACGCTGTCAAACTTGTAACAACAGAAGAACCCTTTTGGGTGCTATAGAGAACCCTTTTCCAAAAAGTTCTATATAGAACCATCTATAGCAGATTCATGCACATTTTCTATCAATCTGAAGAACCCTTTCATGATGCAAAGAACGCTTCAATCATGCTAAGTGTTCATGGTTCTTTATAGAACCATTTTCTTTACTAATCTTTTAAGACTGCACGCTTGTCATAATAGAAGAACCCTTTCTGGTGTTATATAGAACCCTTTTCAAAAAGGTTCTGTATAGAACCATCCATAGCACATTCTCCATCAATCTGAAGAACTTTTTCATGACGCAGAGAACCTTTTAATCATGCAAAAGGTTCGTTCAGTGTTCAAGGTTCAAAAGAACCCTTGAAGAACCATCTTTTTTCAGTGTCACTATCATGCGACATCATTTCAGTGCGCTGGATCACGGACGGTAGCGGTTTTCCTACTTCAACAACTTAAAAACCTTGTAATTCAAAGGATTCAGTGATATTCGGAGGAAAACACAAGGCAGAAGGTAACAGACACCACAGGGGAGGGTGAGAGGAGTGATTTAGAAAATCTTTATTTCCTCACGTAGAAAAACTCTTCACGAAAGCCTCGTTTAGCCGACGGACTGAATCAGACGGTTCAGCCGAGGGAACACAGTAAACAGTGAAGCGTAGAGTTCAGGCAGGTCTGCACTAAAAGTGCTTATCTGTGCATCGCTGCCTCCTGGAAATGCTTTGATGTATAAGATGTGTAGCTCACAGGACCAGAATAAACTCCCATGGTCCTAATTTAAACCTCTTTTTTTCTTCATGCGAATACAGGCATCACTGCAGACCTCTTCAGGAGTGAGCTGTTCCCTTCGTCTGTTAGCAGCGTACATTTCTATCCACAGTGTATTCTCAGTTCCTCATTTCTCCTGCACAGTTTCACTGCACGAATACAGCAAGACGTTTCTAAAGCAATGCTAATCAGTCCTGGCCTTAAAAAGCTGAAACATTTCCAACAAAGGAACAATTCGGTCAATTTGACGTTTATACATGAGACGGATACGGCCTGTCAAAAGTTTAGGGACCTTGTCTTGTTTTGAAATTTCCAAAGGAATGTTTGATTTTCACTTTTACTTTTCAAGATATGTGCAAAGGTTTCGTTAGCATATCAGCAATTTGTTCATCTCTAAATAACCCGGCTTCATGTTTAGTGTTAGTCTCTTCCTCGTGGTAGGAAAAGCAGGTTTTCCCTAAATAATGATCTGAAAGTTGTCTTGTCTAGACTATTGTTAACAGCACAAATTTAGCCCAAAAGTGGTTTAAACATTTTAAATGTTTTAGTGCTGATAAGTGCTGACATCGCAAGAAGCAGATCAACTAGTTAGCTTGCAAAGACAAACAGCTTTAGTGCGAAACAGCCTTCCAAACCCATTTTTAAAAACATACTGCAAAACACAATCGTTGAGATGTAAACAAAGTCATTCAGAGTGGGTCGGTGTGAAATGCTTCATTCCAAAGCCTTGCCAAGTCAGAACTGTTCACAACAGTAGTGATAGGAACCTAAAGAGGACATCTAAAGAGTTTAATGCTTCTGAAGCCTCCCTCACAGAAAGTTATTACATGGAATGGGAATAAATACAGGGCCTGATGTCTGTTTTACGGTAGTTTTGAGAAGGTTTTGGCCTAAATATATATATTTTTCAAACCCATTCATGAACATGCAAAGTGTTGTAGGGCAAAATAGTAGAGAAAGAAAACATTTTGTAAGATTTACCACTATTTTCCCATCATCAACATTACATATATAAACTCAGAAGACTCGTGTGGGTTCACTGTTGGTTTTGGATAGTAAATAAAATGGCTATGTTTGTGTTGAAGACACTGTAATCTCTGGTTCCCATCACCACCACTGTAAAGACATCTGAGTCTCTGCAATGAAGCATTTCACATCAATCCACTGAATGACTTTATTTACATCTCAGAGCTTGAATTATGCAGAGATTTTTAAAAGGCTGGTGGACTTCTCCTTCACTGTGTTAAAAAAACAAGCTAATTTATTAAAAACACTTTGAAACTTCTGACAACCAATGTAAATTATCACATAATTCATATTCACTGTAAGATAAACACTCAAAAGATGATGTAATAGACTCTCACCTGGTGTAGAGTCCTGAGCTTTTGGACTTGTAAACAAAATGCCAGAGCTCAGGGATGCCCACCTGCGAGACGGGGTAGGTGGGTGTCCGCAGCGCCTCCTGCAGGGCCTGATAAGCACTGCGTTTGCGCAGCCGCTCCAGAAAGCGGCGCTTGCAGTCGGACAGGTTAAAGAAGTCCTCGCGGTCCGTGGACACCAAGATCAGACAGAGGTCAGACTTGGGCTCCAGGTAGGAGATGTGGGCGTGGAAAAAGCCTGCCGTGTTGAACTTGGGGAGACAGATGGGGGTCCAGCCCTCGCCTTCCCTGAAGGATGAGGACGAGCCCACCAGGTTGAAGAGCAGATGCAGGTCCATGTGATGGAGGTACTGGTCCTTTTTCCTGACCAGAGTGACCAGGCGATTGCCGGCCAGCAGGATGGAGAAGACCAGGCTCTTGGCCTTGGCTGCCTGTAGGCTGGCGGAGACCACATCCCTGGCCGAGCTGGCCAGCGGGAGGCTCATGACGGCGTTCAGGAGCAGCCCCGGGTCACGGTCCAGCAGCCGCAGCAGGCTGTCGGTCAGGTGCTCGGAGCCGGCCAGCAGCCGCCGCAGGTCGTAGTTCTGCTTGTGCTGGAAGACGTGGTTGAGCTGCGTCAGCGTCAGCAGGCTCACGATCTGATAGTAGACGTACTGAAGCTCGCGGGACAGCTCGCGGTCTGACTGGCTTGACTGGGACACGCCCACCAGGACCAGCGGGCTCTTGTGGAGGAAGACCACGCGACACCCGTCTAGACGAATATAATAGGTGAATAAAAAGGTAGATTGACAAAAATTCTACACTTTTTACACCAAGTCAAAATGTATGCGGTTTAGTTTGGTTCCTCTTTAGATTTGCACTGATGCTATAAGGCTAATGTAGCTAACAAGTAATGGAAACTAAAATAAGGAACTAAAGAAACGAAAAAAGCCTTAATAGGGATATTTTGTTCAAATATTTATGCTGTCCTGTTCCTCAATTCAGATGTTTTAGTTCTGAACAGTTTCTACTTCAGAACACTAGGTGGCGATGTGTCCTTTCACTAGCTAGAAGGAGAGGAAGAAGACGTCCAGTCATTCACTCACGACTAGGGCCGGGCGATGAAACGATAACAGTAATTATCGCGATAAAGCTTTCCTCGATTAAAATATAAAAAATGTTCGATAAATGTTTGATATAATAGACGATTCTCACACTTCCTCGTTCTAGCGGCAGCCCTGGTGGCATTTTCTACTGCAATGAAAGCGACACTACTCTGCTGTCACCACGAGAGGGCGCACTTCTGAGTTTTTTTTACATGATAAGAGAGGGAGGGGGCGACGAGTAAAATGAGTCACCAAATATACTTTGGCAACGTCTGAAACGTGGATGCCGAGCAATCAGCGATCTGTTCTACTGCCATGAGACAAGTGGCGTAACTAAACTGTCCTACAGTGAAATCACTTCTATCCTAACATCCTAACAAGCTTTAGCAGCGTTAAATCACGAAATCATGTCACGTTCTGACCATAAAGGATTTAAAACTACAAATTAAAAGGTTTAAAACCACAATTAACCAATCAGGAGCAAAAATCTGACTTAAAACTTGAAAGAAATAATGATTTGATGTTTATCGTGATAATTATCGATGTCAACTGATATGAAATTTTTTTATCATGATAAAATTTTTGGTCATATCGCCTACAACACCACAAACCAGCATGATAATTAAAGGGGATTTCTACCAATTTTTCAAAATTCCTCCATAATTTAACCACTGCGATGTAAACAGAGTCATTCAGTGTGGTTTGATGTGAAGTTCTGGAAAAACTTACCGACTCAGGTTTCTTTACAGTGGTGGTCTAAAACGGAGTCACAATGTCTAAAATGAAAATATGGTCATTTTATTTACTATGCAAAACCACCAGTGAACCCACACGTGTCTTCTGAGTTTTATATGTAATGTTGATGACGCCCTGTGAGTAACTCTACACTAGGAATGGTTCTTAAAGATTACATTTTAGGCCAAACCTCTCAAAGAAAAATCGATTACATATCAGGAATCGTTTCATAAAATAACTCTGTTGGGGGGAGCTTTTAGAAGTGTTAAACACTTAAGACGTCTGGTTCCTATCACCATCACTGAACAATTCTGACTGGGCAAATTTCTCCAGAACAGAGCATTTCACACCAAACCACTATGTATTTTAACAACTAAATTATGCAGGAATTTTGAAAAATTGGTGGAATTCCCCTTTAACCAGCTAGCCATTTCAGTGTTGAAATTATGGAGAGTAAAAAAGGCCTTTTGGGGGCTCCCGAGTGGCGCAACCGTCTAAGCGTTGGCCCTATCATCAGGAGATCGCGAGTTCGATCCCTGGTGATGCTACAGCCGTCCGTAGCCGGGAGTCCGAGAGAGCACAGTTGGCCTCGCTCTCTCTGGGTGGGTGGGATGGCTTCCTTTCTCCACCCATCACTCACTAAGTGTGATGCTAGTCAGCGCAGGCGTCTGTTAGCTGACGTAACAGAACTGGCGGTTGGCGCTTTCCTCCGAGCGCGTTCAGCTGTCCAATGACGTTGCGTGAGGGGCAGCTCAAAAAAATGCGGTTGCTGGTTTCACAGGTCTCGGAGGAAGCCTGCGTTGATAGCGTCGTGTGTGATTGGGGGAGTCCTAACTAGCGGGTGGAATTGGCTACGACTACACTGGGGAGAAAACCGGGTAAAAATTGAAGAAAATAATACAAAAAAAGGCCTTTTGTTTTCATTAAGGTTCAAAATACTGTTCAAATGTTGGACTCAACAATAAGAAATGCATCAAATAAATACAGATAATTATCTATAACAAATGGTACAAGAAAATATATCGTAATAGGCTGTTTGGTCATAAAGTCTAGACCTGTTTTCTACTGATGCTGCCTGTTTTGTTGGAAATGTTTTATCTAATATCCAGTTTCCAGTTAAGTTGATCAGATTACCAAAACTCAACACTTACTATATTTATGAAGATATGCAACACCAAAACAATCGAAATCAATGATAAAATCACTATCAATCAATGAAAGCCAGTGGATCACCTGCGTGAATGGAGCGAATGATGTTCTTCTCGGCCTCCACGAAGGACACGAGGGCCATCATGACCCCCATGGTGGTGGACAGAGCCTCCTCGGTGCCGTAACGCGTGTAGATTGGTTTTCCTGCTTCGCTCAGAACGAACACGTGCTTCCTGTGACTCCGCCACGCTTCGCTCGTAACGTCCTCCTCCTTCAGCCGGACGCCACTCTGAACCTCCTGCTTCTCCTCCTTCGGCTCCTTCTGCTCCTCTTCAGCGTCTGCGCCTCCTCTTTGCTCCTCCTCCTCCTTCGCCTCTCCTTCCTCCGACTCCCCCAAAGCAGAGTGGCTGCTCCCTGTTAGCTCAGAGTCTGGGTTACTCTCACTGTCGGCGGTCAGATCCTCGAAAGACTGAGAGTGGACGAACATGTGCTGAGCGTGCTCCTGACCGGCACCTGGAGACAAACATGCACAGCTCTAACTTATAAGGTCGCAAAAATGTAGTCAATCAGTTTCCTTCTTTAGTTTTACACTGGCGCTAATAGGGCTGAACGATTTGATCTGACTAACATTGCAACTGTGATTCAAACTGTGATTATGTTCTATAAATTTCAGGTTCAAGGTTCAGGACTTTGAAGGTAGTGTGCCAGACGGCCAGTGAGTTGTAGTTGTGAGGTCACAACACATGGAGGTTGCCTCTGATTCATCTAAATCAACTTTTGTCAAGCTTCAACAAAAATCAAACCACCTTGGGAGCCACAACATTTCATGTCCATTTTATTGATGTAACGTTTCACCATCTCGACTGTAAATACGTCTCAGTATGTGCTAATGTCCTAACGTAGACTAAAAATATAATATAAACGAAAACGCAGACTTACTTTGCTCTGCTTTAAGCTTCAGCTCAGCTATAGTCACTTTTCTCGCATCTCCAGCAGGAAACTTTTCCTCAAAAGTAGGTCATTCACCAGCTTCTTGTTTGAATTTTACCATTCCACCTTAAATGGTGCAGCAGTTCAATTCTGGTGCCTCAGACACCACTTTAAGGTGGAAAGGTTGGGAGTTTTTCACACCACATCATACGTCTTTACATTTTAACGACACTTGCCGATGCTCAAAAAGAACGTTCGGCTTGATGTTCAGGCCTCAAATGCAAAATTAGTGTTACACTGATGAAGATATGATGACAACAGTAGATAATTCACTACAATCAGGTTTAAAAAATGTTCGTCTGCATATTGTGCACAATTACACATTTCCACCAGAGGGGTGGAAATAAATCCCCAAATAAATCTCTAAATGCCCCAAAACTAACAGGGTGTAGCTTTAATTGATCTTCAGCAAACTTAATTATGTGGTTTCTGACACTGAATGACTGTCATCTATAAACGAAAAAACAGTAACAGTCAAGTTGTAGCTGAATTTTAATCATACTGCTGCCTGTTGATATAGATAACTGTATTTCCAGTACTGAGAACTCAGGCTTTGTTAAATTAGCTCTGATCATGTAGAGTCAAAGTGTGCTTGTATTTTGTGTTGTGTTCCAGCTCCCAGCTGGCTGTTTCAGAGCTAAAACAGGTTTATCACCCGAACAATGTTGAACCACTCAGTTTATAGACTAGGCATCAATTAAATGGGCCTAAAAATCCACCTATAAAAAATCATTTAAAACAAATCAAAGACTGAGTATCTTTTACCAGGTGGACAAAATCTGGGGCAACTTAAACAGCCTCATAAAGAATCTATGGCAACAATGATTGCTGGCAATGAAGTTTAACATCAACAGAGTCGGATGAGGTCAGTGAGTGCAAACCGCTTTATTCAGCTCGGCAACCAATCAACACTCAGTAGCAGTAATGCCGACCAATCAGCACTCAGCAGCAGTCATACCGGCCAATCAGCACTCAGTGGCAGTAATGCCGACCAATCAGCACTCAGCGGCAGTAATGCCGACCAATCAGCACTCAGCAGCAGTAATGCCGACCAATCAGCGCTCAGTGGAAGTAATGCTAACCAATCAGCGCTCAGTGGAAGTAATGCTAACCAATCAGTGTTCAGTGGAAGTAATTCTAGCCAATCAGCGCTCAGTAACAGTAATGCTAACCAATCAGCACTCAGTAGCAGTAATGCCGACCAATCAGCACTCAGTGGAAGTAATGCTAACCAATCAGCGCTCGGTAGCAGTAATGCTAACCAATCAGCACCCAGTAGCAGTAATGCCGACCAATCAGCACTCAGTGGAAGTAATGCTAACCAATCGGCGCTCGGTAGCAGTAATGCTAACCAATCAGCACTCAGTAGCAGTAATGTTAGTGTTATACTGTCACACCGTTTGCTGTAGAAAACAGAAATATATTCCTAAGTTTCCTTTGATTTCTTATTAAAATTATTCCTCTACTTTCCAAAATTAAAGGAATTTCCTGCACAAATGTTTCATTTTTTAACATCTGTTTAACACTCCATTCACCTTCATTCATTAAGGACTCACATTTTTGCAATCATATTTTTTTTTTTACATAATGTGAGAAATAGGAAGTGGCCAGGGTTCCTTTAAACTGGCTCTGGTCCTGTTGTTCCTCTGCCATTATTAGCAGCTGCTGGTGCTGCATGAACGATATGAGCTTCTGTCAAGAGTCAAATGTTAACACAGGCAGATTATGTAGACCAGGGGTGTCAAACTCAACCACCAAGGGCCATATTAAAAAATCCCAAATCAGTGGGCCGGCTGTGTCTGACATGTTGCAACATTCTGCCATGAACCCATCTGGCCATTGTTTATTCAAAATAAAAAATGTAAATAAAAACAAACTGTTTCGTATAAAACAGCTGCAGATACTGCTAAACCTCTTTAAATGTCCGCAAAGTAAAGTAGGTTTTTGAAACCGCCCATTCGCTTGAACTCGACACCTGGCATCTTTTTTTGTTTTGTTTTTGTGGTGCCGTCCCATAGTTTGTTGTTGGGGAGGGGGTGGGAGCACACATTACGTTGTAGTGCATGCTGGGAACTGTAGTGCAGCTCATGGTGAAATGGGCTAATATTAATAGAAAATTTAAATAATTTCCACCAGCCCTTAATAAGACTAGACGGGGCGTCTGGCCTGCGCGGTCTCAATTCTTGTTACTAAACCGTAACAGGCCACCAGAGCTATTTTCAAACCACCTGCGTGGAGCAGTTTGGGAAGTCGAGAGTAGACGCTTTCAAATTAAAACCAACAAAGTTCATAAACAGCGCCTGCTGTTCATCCCTACTCTCACCATGTCTGACAGGAAACTGAAGTGAAAATGAACTAAAGGGCTGAAGTGAACTTCCTCATCGAGCTCATAGAACCCATTTGGTGGTGCTTTGGTGGAGTAGTGAGGCAATTTGTTATCTGGGTCAGTCCACGCCAAATATAGCCAGTAGACTATATTTATATATATTTATATTTTTATTTTTTATTTTTTATTTTTTTTAATACATCTAATCAGTTGGAACAGAGAAAAAAAGGAGCCAGTAGTTCTAAATTTTAAAAACTATCAAAACTGTCAATATAATGACTTTTATTCAATATTTGGCTCACTGTGCTGCACTAAATCCAGTTAAACGGGACTAATTTATAATTAGTCTCTCTTTATAATTAAGCAGGCAGTTGGTCAGTGTTCTACAAGCACTGATGAGATACATAATATGTTCAGAGAAGCATATTGTATTGTGGCATAATTTATCATGATCACGATACATACTGTCATATTGACCAGCCCTATCAGCTCATGACAGGGCAGAATTCTCTCTAGAGAATAAAGTTCAGTCAACAGCTCACTGCGGTATCTCCCCACTAGAGGTCTAAATCTCTCACCTGTGACCTCGCATTGAACAGTTTCCTAAAGAATCCAATCAATTATGACTCCTAAGGAATCATGCATCATGACATTGCACATTTGTCCACAATTAGATCCGATAATTTAGATTATTTTGGTACCCGATTCGGTTATTATAGTATTTGATTCAGCATCATTTTTAAAATACGCTGAAAAACTATTTACACAGCCGTGCAATACAGACAATAAAATCACTACACCACGTTAAATTACCCAAGAACTTAGAAGGAATGTGTTATCACAAATAATATCACAGAGTCAAAGTAAAGAAAAATGTAAAGCAAAGAAGACATGGATATTGTTTCACACACACACACACACACACACACACACACACACACACACCGAGCACTTTTTTCTAGGAACACTTCCTTGTTTCTACACTCACTGTCCATTTTATCAGCGCTGCTTACCATATAGGTGCACTTTGTAGTTCTACAATTACAGACTGTAGTCCATCTGTTTCTCTGCATACTTCATTCTTCAATGGTCAAGACCCCCACAGGACCCCCGCAGAGCAGGTATTATTTCGGTGGTGGGTCATTCTCAGCACTGCAGTAACACTGACGTGGTGGTGGTGTGTTAGTGTGTGTTGTGCTGGTCTGAGTGGATCAGACACAGCAGTGCTGCTGGAGTTTTCAAACACCTCAGTGTCGCTGCTGGACTGAGAATAGTCCACCAACCAAAAATATCCAGCCAACAGCATCCTGTGACCACTGATGAAGGACTAGAGGATGACCAACACAAACTGCGCAGCAGCAGATGAGCTATCGTCTCTGACGAGGTAGGAGTGTCTGATAGAGTGGACAGTGAGTGGACACAGTGTTTAAAAACTCCAGCAGCACTGCTGTGCCTGATCCACTCAGACCAGCACAACACACACTAACACACCACCACCACGTCAGTGTTACTGCAGTGCTGAGAATGATCCACCCAAATAGCACCTGCTCTGTGGTGGTCCCCTAGGGGTCCTATATGGTAAGTGTTGCTGATAAAATGGACAGTGGGTGCAGATACAAGGAGGTGTTCCTAATAAAATGCTTGGTGGTTGGTATTTGTGCGATACACACACACACACACACACACACACACACACACACACATATATTTATATATACATATACATACATATACACATACATATATATATATATATATATATAGTTAAGTGACCCTTTTTAGTCCCACAAAGGGGAAATTTCACCTCTGCATTTATCCCGTCCGTGCAGTAAAACACCACATGAGCACACTTGCCCGGAGTGGTGGGCAGCCCTATCCGCAGCGCCTAGGGAGCAGTTGGGGGTTAGGTGCCTTGATCAAGGGCACTTCAGTCACGTACTGTCAGCTCAGGGGATCAAACTGGCGACCTTCCAGTCATAAGACTGGTTCCCAAACCTCCAGCCCATGACTGCCCTATATATATATATATATATATATATATATATATATATATACATACACCGCCCACTTCTTCTGCTAAAAAAGTAGTTCCAGTAGTTAGTTAAAGTAAAACGTCAGCGTCTTATTTTGCTCTTTGCTTTTTGAACCTTTCTTTACACGCCCTTCATAATCCGAAGCACATTTCACATCAATCATAGCTACATAAAGAAACTGCCTGAGTGACAGACCTACTTTACAAGACCCACCTTCACTAAAGCAACACCTGCAGGCTGGAACTACCAATCATTAACCCATTAGGCCCTGTATGAGTCACTGTGTCAGCGGACAGAGGAAAATTTACTCAGCATACTTTACAGGGCGTAACCCAGTATGAGGAACGTAGGACTTAATCACTGAAAACAACAACAAAAAAACATTACACTTAAATGACCTCATACTAAAGTTCTAAATACTCAAGGACCACAGAGTCACCATAAAAACATGTGCTGCCTCATTAAACTGCCTTCAGTCATACTTCCAGTGGAGTCAGCACTGCAGCCGTGGAGCAGATAAAGCCACGAACAGGAACAGCCGAACAGTGTTGCTAAACAGCAAACTTAGAGACCACAGCTGATAAGGATGAGCATTCTAGTCAAATCTGATATTCAAATTTGTAAGACATTATTCAAATATTGTTAAAAAGCTGCAGTAGTCTTGTTGTGTTTCCTTCCTTTCACTAAAACTGGGGTCGGCAACCTGCGGCACTTTTACTGCCCTGTTGTGGCTCCACAGCAGAATTAGATTTGTAGGTAAAAACAAAATAATCCTCCTTTACAGTAAAATAAAGCTCTGCTGATCGTTCAACACAGTTTAACAATAAAGGGTCTTAAACTCTGGAGTTAATGTAGAACTGCTAAATCACCCTTTAACCCTGAAGATCAGCGCAAACTGCTGGTCACCATAGCAACACAGACAACAGTCTCGCCTAGCTAGTAGCTAACGAAATGGCAAAGAGAGAGATTTAAGACAAACTTCGATAATTTATTCGATAATAAATGGACCTATTTGCGTTTATAATCACTCCAGCTGGTTTCCTGATATGTTTAATCTGCAATGAAAAACTGACAAACACTAAAAAGTCATGAAGCTGAAGTCTCAGTTTCTCATTCACCAGCTTCTCTTGTTCCACCTTAAATAGTGCAGCGGTTACATTCTGGCACCTCAGGCACCGTTTAAAGTGGAACGGGAAAATTCAAACAAGAAGCTGGCGAATGAGAAGCGACTTCAGCCTCGTAAAAAGTTGAACATTAAGAGGCATTTTATAAGAAACTGTTCTACTTTTGAGGAAAAGTTTCCTGCCAGAGATGCGAGAAAAGCGGCTATAGCTGAGCTGAAGCTTAAAGCAGAGAAAAGTAAGTCTGCGTTTTCGTTTATATATTGTTTAGCCTATACCAGTACATCAGCTGATACTGAGACATATTTACAGCTAAGATGGTAAAATGGACATGAAATGTTGTGGCTCTCAAAGTGGTTTGATTTTTGCTGAAAGGACAAAATGGCTCTTCTTAACTTTTGGGTTGTCGATCCCTAAAAATTTTTTATTTTAAGAAAAAAAGTTATACTTTCTGGACTTTTTAAAATTTCAAAAATTCAGACTCAACTCTAATAGCTAGCCTGCTAATGTCACTCATATACCGCATATCGTCACTGCCCAAATAAAAAGAAATGTCTCCATTTATCATTTGAATGTAGCAGCTGTAATTTACACTGTGTGAAAATTTCACCATGAATGGATCAACAGAAAAGCTCCAAAACTGGTTGGAATAAAAAACTTTTTATATTAACTTACACTGAAAGTAAAAGAATATTTTGCCCTCTCCTGTAATTTTACTATTTTGAAGATATTTCGTTTTCTTTAGACAGCGACGATACACAACTTATTCATAACTAGCCTGTCTGAACGTATATTTACTACTCAGAATTTCTGTTTTGATCTATCGATCTAGACCATCCTTGTTTTTTTCCATTTGTTTTAGTGGTACGCACCTGATAACTGATGGTTCTTTAAAACCTTAATACCATGTTAACATTTTCAGTACAACACAGAACTGACTCGTGACACATTAATGATGTTATTTTGACGCTGGTGAGCCTTTTCAATTCCTTAAAACTCTGTTTTCAGATTCCTCTGAATATGAATATTGAAAGTAGTCAGGTATTCAGTCTTTCAAAACATTTAGATATTGAACTATAATTTTGTGCTGTTATGTTTAAATCTTCAAAAGATTTGATGTTTGAATTTTCAAAAAAAAAAAAACTACTTTGTTTGAATGTTTAGAAATACACTGTATGTCCAAAAGCTTGTAGACACTTAAGGGTATTAATTAGGGCTTGACCAATAGAAAATGTCTTGTGGCCGGTAAGATTTTAAGGGGCCAAACATTCCAATATAGTGTTAGATTTTAATGTTATACTCCAACAGGTTTAGTTAAACAGTGCTTTACAGACTGATATGAGTGTCTGTTCTCAATGGTCAAACTTCCTATACTTAAATAAAAAGCAGAAACCAAGAATCTTAAATAATATAAATATTAAAGCACTGGGGGCGGAGCTACTCACAATTCTTTGTACTTTTAGATTCTGCTAATTACCTCTTATTATTCATTTTTCCCCATCGGTTCCCAAGCTATTCTCATGCTAACAAGGATGTTTTACATGGCAATACTGCAAGTAACTGCTAATCATTGGTGATATTTTCTACTCTTCTGGGAAGGCTTTACACTAGATGTGGAACATTGCTGTGAGGATTTGATTGAGCATTAGTGAGGTAAGGTACTGATGTTGGATGGTCAGTTCTGGAACCCCAACTCATCCCAAAGGTACTGGATGGAGCTCCATCACCATGTGTGTGCAACTAAACGCATGTGGAAGTTAAAGTAAGTAAATTCACAAAATAAATAAAAAATAAAACAAAATAATGAAAAGGGCTGTCTGGACACTTTGGACCATGTTGTGTACATTGCCAATCAAACCATCCCGACACTCCAGTTGCCACAACCGGCTGAAGGACTGTTCCACTGCTGCTCATAAGGAAAAAGTCACCTCACCTGGCTCTGTCCCCTCCACCAGCCCAGGTGTCGGACTCTCTGAGCGGTCACTGCGAAGGCGGTCCACTGGTGCTAAGCTGCCGTTCATAGTGTCCCAGGTCACTCCTTTATTGTGGACGTCTGCTGCCATCCTGGCAACTGTTCCAGTGAAGAGAGGAGCTCAGTGTGTGTGTTCTACTGACTGACTCAAATTTCTTCACAGTGGCAGTGATAGGAACCAGAGGTCGCACAATATATAGCCATTTTATTTACCGTCAAAACCCACCAGTGAACCTACGCATGTCTTCTGAGTTTGGTCTGTCATGTTGATGATAATAAAACAGTGATAAATATGAACAAAAAAAAAAAAAGTTTTCTTTGAGGACTATTTTGCCTCACAACATCCTGCATGCAACTCTCCACCACAAATGGATTTCAAAAAAGAGGTTTTAGGCCAAAATCTTCACAAAACTATCAAAAAACAACGGCATCAGGCAACATTTCTTACTTATTTCATTTAATAACTTTCTGTGATGGAGCTTTTAGAGGTGAATGTCTGGTTCCTATCACCACCACTGTGAACAAAGCTGTAAGTTTCTCTATAACAGAGCGTTTCACACCAAACCACTCCAAATTACTTTGTTTACATCTTAAGTTACCCCCACAACGGGAAAATTCACCACCACATTTAACCCATCTGTGCAGTGAAACACCACATACACACTAGTGAAAGTACACACACTAGAGGGCAGTGAGCACACTTGCCCAGAGCAGTGGGCAGCCCTATCCACAGCGCCCAGGGAGCAGTTGGGGGTTAGGTGTCTTGCTCAAGGGCACTTCAGTCATGTCCTGTCAGCTCTGGGGATCGAACCGGCAACCATTCCGGTCACAAGGCTGGTTCCCTGACCTTCAGCTCACGACAGCCCTCCCTCTTAATAAACCTCTTAATTATGTAGATAATTTTAAAAATAAATGGGTGGAATTCCCCTTTTAACACTATAAAAATACACTATAACACTATAAAAATACACTATAACACTATAAAAATACATATCTCGCCAAGCGAAAGCATTTTAAATATAAGATGAGTATCTAATATATCATTATGAGAATATTAAAAGATTATCCAACCAATTTCTAGACATTTACTTTTACTATCTAGTGAAATTATCTTGCACTAGCAGATTTCTAAGGAAATGTAATTATTCGCCAGTGCAGTGATATGATTTCCTTGATAGAATCACTTTATGTATACAAATATGCATAGGAATAGGTTGAACACCCTTATAAAACTCTTTCAGCTTTCACACAATGAGAAATATGAAACATATTATGTAGATTTTCAGATGATTGCATTTGCCAAGATATAATTTGTTTTTGTAATGGAATAAAAGTAGTTAAATACAATGTTTCTTCTATGAAATGATGAATATTTAACACCAGAAGATACTGGACCACTTACTTAGAGTGTCATCAAACACATTACCATTCATATCATTAAAAGCTCTTGCTTTATCTCACATTTTCACACAGCAGATATGCAGGCTGGATCAATATCATGCTGACTTTATAGTTAAAAGGCTCTCTCAACTCTCACAAACAGACATA